CCCTCAGACGGTAAACTAACCATATATAATGAACCCCTCTTATGTCCACGAGCGATCACAAGATTTCCTTTGACAACCTTCCACTGCCCATTCCTGAACTTAACCTCGTGTCCCTGTTCATCCAACTGCCCAACAGAAATTAACTGTTTCTTCAGACTTGGAATTACCCGGACATCCTTCAAAGTCCATGGACCGACTGGAGTCTTCAGATCTAAGTCATCTATGCTCGTCACATCAAGAACCTCATCGTTTTCCAGTCTTACCTTACCAAAATCCCCTTCTTTCAGATTCCGCAGTGCTTCACGGTTGTGGGTAGCGTGAAATGAAGCACCCGAATCCATAACCCAGGAATCCACATTGCTCTCCACACTACAGATCAAAACATCATCATCTGAATGGTCTACTGCAAAGTTAACTTCTTTCTTGTCTTTTGGACATTGATTCCTGAAATGTCCAACCTCTTTACAGTTCCAACAAGTCACATCATTTCGAGTCCTCGACTGACTCCTTCTCCTGTTCCCGCTCCCACTACCTCTGTTATTTCTTCTACCTCTGACCGCATTCAATTGTTCACTTGATGATTCCCCGGAATTTCTTCGTCTGACGTCTTCGCCTAGAATTAAATCCTAAATTCCCTCAAAAGTGAGCTCTTTCGATCCTACGGAACTAGTAACGGCTGTAACTGTTCCGGACCAACTGTCAGGTAATGATGATAACAGTAGTAAAGCTTGAACTTCGTCCTCAAATTTTATTCCCACTGACCCAAGTCTGGATAAAATCGAGTTCAAATTGTTGATGTGTACTGTAACTGAACTTCCTTCCCTCATCCTCGTGTTGACTAGTTCCCGAATCAGGAAGACTTTATTTGCTGCCGACGGCTTCTCGTACATATTAGACAATGGCTCCATGATTCCCTTTGCCGAGGTCTCCTTCAAAATGTTGAAGGCAACATCCTTTGACAACGTCAGTCTAATAAATGCCTTGGCCTTCTTATCCAAAGTCTTCCAGTCTGCCTGTGTCATCGCCTCCGGTTTTTCACCTAAAACTGCGTCCAAGTCTTTCTGCACGAGCAAATCTGCAATTTGCATCTTCCACCAACCAAAATCTTTCCCATCAAACTTCTCAATCTGAAGCTTACTGCTTTCTGCCATTTTCTGAAAGAACAATGACCTATTTTGCAATTTTCTGGAAATTCAGGGGCCAAATTGCAAAATTTCAAATCTGCTACAGTTTTGCTACGGTGTCGCTACAGTGCCTGCTACAGTGTCTGCTGACGTCACCGCTGACGGCGTGCTACAATGTCTGCTGGCGTCACCGCTGACGTCGTGCTACAGTGTCTGCTGACGTCACCGCTGTCGTTGTGCTACAGTACATCTACAGTACCGCTACAGTGTCGTCTTCTCCGGCAGAACTTCGGTGCTACAGTGTCGTCTTCTCCGGCAAGTTCAGGCGCTACAGTGTCGTCTTCTTCGGCGGAACTGGTTTTTCCGGTCACTATTCCGGCAAACCTTTGACCGGCGATTTGGACGTCTTCCGGTGGTCAAAAAATTCAGAAAAAAATATTTTCGGAATCTTCGGAACGAGACCTTTCCAACGGTATACACCAAAATCGTTTTTGACGAAAAAAAAATTTCTACCAAAAAACTGAAAATCACCTTCTAGAGCTAAAACCTTGCTCTGATACCACTTGTTAGGACCGAGACACTTAACACACGACTCTAAACACACACACAGCTCACGAAAAACAAGAACACAAGGATGAACATGAGGGATTTAACGTGGTTCGGTCCTTCTCTGACCTACGTCCACCGGTAACTAGGAATTTACATTTCTTGGTGCTAATCTGCACTCTTTCTGTGTTACACTAGATACAAGTTTTACAAATACAAATGAATCTCTTATATAGAGATGGAAATCAGAAGTAGTCAAAAAACACAACCGGGTCTTCAGCCAACCTTTGAAAAAACTTCACATTCAACAATTGTGGCTTCACATTCAACAATTGTGGCTTCACAACTTCACATTGTTCCTGCCATTTTTGACCAACTGTGGCTTCACATTCAACATAAAAATATTTTCCTACATTAAAAAAAACTGAAAGATACACAGTAGCGGAGGGCTTAAGGGGCCAAGGGAGGCCATGGCCGCCCTGCTTTTGAGCCTAGTAACCATAACTTATTACTATGCAACAATTTTTTCAAGAATTAGCTCAATCAATCGATCGATTAAAATGACAAAGTACTCGTTTCATCTAAAAAAAGAATGTATTTAAAAAATATATATAGGTGTAATTTTAGCCCAAGAAATTCGTGGGGTAAAAAATGGCAAACAAATCCGATGGATTCGTTCAATCCTAGAATATAGCAGTCGAAATTCCACAAATTCCAAAAGTAAAGAAGGCGCGTCATGAAATAGTAGAAATTATACAATAAAAATAAAAAAAGTTTAGATATAATTTCACTACCACATCGGAGTAAAACGTTAAATCGAATCGATAAAATCGTAAAATAGGAGATATTGAGAAGATTGAAGAAGCAGCGGACATTAGAGAACTACGTTGGCTCTCCGCTCATCGCTGTTTCCATTACCCGTCGATCTATTGTCAACCGTAATGGTTATATTTCTTTAGACCTCACTTTACTCATTACAGTTAGTTCTCTTTTTCTCAGCCTGTTACTGCCTGGATTATGTTCTTGCCTACTTTTTTAGTTTTCTCCGCCGTCCAACTCCTAAATTGTTGAAGTGTGTGTTGTATGCTTTTAACCTAATTGTTTTATCTAAATTATTTTGGTATCTTATATCATTTTATGTTAATGTTAATATTAATGTTATTAGTTTTTATTTTCATAATACACGTCAATTATGGTGATTTTTAAATACATCGTAGTTTTTTAATTATTTTAAAGTAATTTTTATATATAAAAGTATTTCTTAATATTAAAACTCCTCATGGCTTGTAAAAAAAAAATAGATAACGTTCCGCCCCTCTAGTTTTAAGTCTTGTTCGGCCCCTGATGTATGGAAGAGGCTGATGTTGAATAAGAAATTGGAAACAGAAATCACAAAACCTACTCTGCTTAGAGCTTCAAAAAACTTTTCCTGCATTCAAAACAAAATTCACTTAATTCAACAAAAGTATCACACGTTCACTCAATTCCCAAAAATTATTAGTCTATTACCTAAACATAAATCCAATTCAGAAAATTATTAGTCTTAAATTCAGAAAAGAATAAAGCTATTACCAAAAAAGAGCCGACAATCACTTTATAGAATTACAATTCTCTTTAACTTGATCGATCAATAAGTCTGAAATAGAGAAGATACAATAAATCGATTTCAATAAAAAAAAATTCTTCAAAATTATCATTCATCAAAAACTAAAAGGAGGAGAAATGGAGAACCAACCTGATGCGTGACTACATACACGGATGACTACTACCGTTTCTGATTTCTCAACTCTCAAGATTCGAGACTCAACCAGAGGGGAGGATAGTCGGACAACGTGAACTCGAGAACAGGTCAGAAGGAGGAGGTGGAGAACGATCAATGGATTAACTGATTAACGCTTGCTTCAATTTTGCTACTGTGAGATTAAAGATTTCGCGAGAAGAGGTCAGAAGTGGATAACCGGATCAACAATTTCGCTGATTGAATGACCTATTGCTTCAATTTTGGCGAATGTGACTCTGAGATTTCTGCTACTGCCCGCTTTAATTCATGCGTATTCAATCTTTTGGCGTTAGTGACTTCGTTCCCAGTCCCTACTAGGCTAAGCCGCTCACAAGTCACAATGACATTAATATTTGGCCCAATTAAAACTAATACATAGTACCCATAATAATTTTTAAGATTTTGCTGCGTAGGCCCACTGGTGGCTTGGGCCATTGCCTTGCTGCTGCCCTTTGGCCGGCCCGTTTACTCAAATTTTCTTGTTTTTATTATATGATATCTATCTTACGTAATAAAAAGTCATTCCCTAGGGGTTTTGATCAAATTATATATGAAAGTTGTATGTTAGGATGTTTTTGCTCTAAATGAGGTGTGCATGTCCATTTCCATTGCTGTTTAAATGGAATGACCAAAATTACACAACCCGTATAAATGTTTGTGACGTTAGGAAATGTCGTTAGTTGTTTGGGTGCGAACAATTGATTCCTAAGAATTATATAAAACTACTTAATGAATAAATTAGACCAATTAAGTTCTATGTAACCTAAATTAGTAATTTGAGTTCAATTAATAATGTGAGTGCAAGCCAATCATTACATACCACATCTATTCAATAGTTATTTCAAATACATGAGAATTAAGCATCGTATGAAAATTCTACAAGGGTTTTGGTCATGAAGTCCACATCTTTCGCGTTTTGCGTACAAATCAATTGAGCGTCGATCGTAGCTTGAAACAAAAGAAAATGGGGATGCAAAAGATCGAGTGACTATTTCAGAAGATGGAGAAGTAGTCAACTATCTACTCTTATATATATGAATGCATTTAACATTGAAACTGTTTTATATTTTCTAGGTTTGAATAATAAATTACATTGATATAGCTTTATAGACGTCATCATCGGTTCATTTCTATTTATAAGTTTATAATAAATTATACTGATACAGCCATATAGGCGTCATCATCAATTCATTTCTATTTATATCATTTCTATTTATAAGTTTATCGGTCACAATAAATTTAACAAAAATAAAATTAAAAAATAAAATGCACTAGTTTTACTAAATTCAGAAATGATATAACAATTTTTGTGGTCATCGCCGTTTTAAAAAAGTAAATGTTAAAAAAAAAAAATTATTCTTTATTAGACAAATATATTAGATGGATATAGCTTGGGTAAATATGTGACGTAATCAAAATATTCAGGGGGCTCATTTGAAAATATTAGCAATAATTTATTTAAGTTTCCCCGCAATCTATCATCCATTTCATTAGCAAATCCGTCGTCTTCTTTCTTCTTCTTCTTCCGTACACTGTAATTTCTCTCTGATATGGGTAAAGTCCTATTCTTCATCTTCGCCACCATGCTTCTCGCCGGCATAACCGCCATCATCATCCACTCACAGCACCACCACGTACGCCACCACAAAGATCCACCACGTGATCTTGTATCAAATGTTACCCAATTGCTCCGATCCAACGGATTCAACTTCATTTCCACCCTCCTCCACATCTCACCGGACCTTTTCCTCTCATCACGGGAGTCCACCATCTTCGCCATTCCTGACTCCGCCATGTCCAACCTCTCAATACCTCCATTCATGACGATACAACTCATCACTTACCATATTTCCCCTTCCAAACTCACCATTAAAGATCTGCTCGATAAACCCCTCAATACCTGCATCACCACCACGTTTCAACAACAAAAGATATCCATCACTAAAAAAGACGAAAAGAATCGAGTTCTTGAAATCAACAACGTGTTGATTACTCATCCTGATATGTTTCTCCAGGGACCAGTCGCGATTCATGGCGTCAGTGGTCCTTTTGCTTCTTTCAAATTTCATCAACAAATCACACAGTTGCCCATTTGCAACGCGAATCAAAGTGATTTTTCACATGGAATTGTCGCTGCTAAAGTCAATCTCACCAAGAACAAGGTTGAATGGGGAATATTGGTCAAATTCCTGAACTCATCCGGGTTCGCCCCTTTCGCAATTGGGTTGCACACTGTTCTTGATGGGGTTTTCAAAGAGCATCCAAATTTGAAGTCACTGACGATCTTTGCACCTCCGATCATCGAAGCGATGGATATGCCTGAACCTTTACTGCAGAAATTCGTGAAATCTCATATAGTTCCGAAGAAGCATTCTTTCAAACACTTGGCATCCATGCGGCAAGGAGCATCACTCAAGACATTATGTCCAGGTACAGAAATTCGAATCACTGAAACTGTCAAGAATCCTTCTGAGGAGTTGCTTTCTATCAATAGAGTGGAGATAACTTCACCGGATTTGTTCTCGTCCAAGAGTTTCGTTGTGCATGGAATCGCACGAGCATTCCCCATGTATGAGGTTTCTACTGTGCCCCAGTAAATCAATCCCCAAATACCATATGTTCATCTATTGTCTGTGTTTCTGCTACTTCTTCATGATCGAAATTAGGGTTTGTATAGTTTCTTGAATTTTTCTGCATGTGTTCGAATCTTGATTTCACTTTTTGGAGATAACGAAAAGCTGTTGCATTTTTTTGTAAAGTCATGAGGTTATTGACATTTCTACATCAAATTGTTTGTACTTTTCTTTATCATATTCCAAATTTTCCATTTGTATTGTTTAATTAAGCTTAAACTAAGATCAACAAACTTAATATATCTATAACAATATAATTATATGACCAATAATTTATTTGCAAATTGCATAACCCAAAAACCGTAAAAGTCTCGTTATATCTCATACGTTTTGCCTTCTAATAAAAAGACAAATAGATGTAAAGTCTCCTTATATCAGATTTTTATTTATTTATTTTTAATGAAAAGGGATTGTTTCAATTAAAAATGTTGTAAATCATTTATAGCACATTGATCTCAAATACAATTAAGCTTCATGCGTAGAGTTTATTTAGATTGGGTTTGTTCATAAATTGAAAATGTATGCTGAAATTAATATTTGGAGATAAATGGGTAGTTCACATATGAGTATTAGCAAGATGATTTAATTACTAAAGATCAAATTGTTGGCTTTTAGTGTTGGATGTAAAACTTTGATGAGGTAAATTAGTGATGAAGTTGCTGAATTTGGTAATGAAATGGTGTTAAAAAACACTCACTTATGATTAATGAAATTGTGTCAGACAACACTCACTTATAAATGGAAAGATGTTTGCGAAAATCACTATATGTGAAAGTAGATTGCCTAAACAGGAAAAATTGAAAATAAGTGTTGTCGGAACCGAAATAAGAATGAAAGGAATGATAGTTAATACGTTGTATATTGTTCTTTGGTTGGAACGATGATGGGTTGGTCCGAAAATGGGTGCTAAGTGTCATATGCCAAATGGTGAATAAATGACATTGTTGTGAAATAGTGTTTTGGAATCTAAAAGCGGTGTACGTGGTTTGTACATGTTATTGTGTAGATATACAATGTTTTAGGGGGCTAAACATTTTAGTCTAACGGTTTTTCTTCCCTTATATAAGTAAAAACGTGTGAGATGTAGTAAATTCGTTGGAAAGCGGATCACATGTTCAAGTTAGTGATGTAGGAGTTTATCAAAAGGTAGCTAGCCTAGAAATGCTCTTAGCCCCTACAAAATGTATTCCGGACCATTTTTAGTTATTCTTATGATTATACATGTAAAATATTATAGAATATAGTATTTTGACGTTATGAAATATTTTTTTCTTAAATTGCCATTTCTTTGTATGAAGAACAGTTATCAAGGTGATGAACATTTCGCAAGGCAATACGATGTTATTTGACTATTTATATGTGTACGCTACGAATTGGTTGAGGAATTACGAAATGGCAAAAGGAAGTAGTTTTTCTTAATTTTTAGCTATTTAAAAGAAGGGTTAATGACGGAAAAACTACTATATTTTGTTGTTCTTTCCGGTTTAAATACCTAATTTTCATTTGTGCTAAAACACCATACATTTTTAAATAAAAGTTTTATCGCGACCACTATTATCTGTATTTGTACTAAAAAAATCACCCATAAATTGGTGGTTAAACCGAACTTTTGGAAAAATATAGTTTTTTTTTCGTAATTAAAAACGGCTCTAATAACTAACAGTGGCCGTGCTGCAATGTTTTACCGAAAAAACAATGATTTTTTTTTGAAACTTATATTAAAAATTGATGGTCAGACCAGATTTTGAAAAAAATATAGTTTTTTTTTTTTTTTTTTGGTGCTTACACCTTGAAAACTAAAGAAACGTTTGTTTTGTGTTTTACTCTACATATAAACCAATTATGAGATATTTGTAAGCGGTTATTTTGCCCACTTCAAAATATTTTAGTTACTTTCGCGGTTTCTGAAAAATAAAATAAAATCGTCACAATTCTTTCTAACATGGTTCGAAGTCTCGCTATTCCAAAAACATTGACGACCTTTCCCCGAATCTATCTATCCACAAAGATTCAAACGTCAAACCTCCAACCATTTACAGATCACGAACTGACCAACCGTTGGAATATCTATGATAGCGACTTCAATTCCGAATCTTTCTACACCTCTCTTCTTGATAGATCAACTTGCAGGAGACATCTCCATCAAATTCATTCCCGGATAATTGTAAATGGGTTTCAGTGCAATGGGTTCATTGTCACGAAATTCATCCATATCAGCTCTAATCTAGGGGAGATATCATATGCACGCAAGCTGTTTGATAAATTTCCTGAACCATATGTGTTTCTATGGAACGCCATGATTCGGGGATATTCCAAGCAAAACATGTTTAAAGAAGCTATTACGTTATACACCCAAATGCAAAAGGTAGGTGTTGGGCCAGATTGCTTCACACTGCCTCATGTACTTAAGGCGTGTGGAGGAGCTGCTGCCTTGAAAGTTGGTAAGGCTGTACATGGGCAGATCTTCAGGCGTGGGTTTGAAGCAGATGTGTTTGTGCAGAATGGGGTTGTGGCTGTATATGCTAAGTGTGGTAGAATTGATAATGCTAGAATTGTCTTTGAAGGGTTGGGTGATAGGACAATTGTATCATGGACTAGCATCATTTCAGCTTATGCTCAAAATGGACAACCAGTTGAAGCTCTAAGAATCTTTAAAACAATGAGGAGTTATGGTATGCAACCAGATTGGATTACTTTAGTTAGTGTTATCAGTGCCTATACTGACATAGAAGATTTGGGACAAGGGAAATCTTTTCACTCTTGTGTGATCAAAATGGGACTTGAATTTGAACCCGACTTACGGATAGCTCTCACTACTTTATATGCAAAATGTGGGCATGTTATGATTGCAAAATCACTATTTGATGAAATGGAGATATCTAATGTGATTATGTGGAACACCATGATTTCTGGCTTTGCAAAAAACGGTTACTCCAACGAAGCTATAACACTTTTCCAAAAAATGTTGTCAAAAAAGTTAACACCAGATTCTGTAACAGTCTGCTCTACAATCTTGGCTTGTGCCCATTTGGGATCACTTGAAGAAGCAAGAAAGATGGGTGAATACATTGACAAAAGTAACTATAAATTCGATGTATTTGTCAACACAGCACTTATTGACATGTATGCAAAATGTGGAAGCATACACTTAGCCCGAAAAGTTTTTGATGAAACAAAAACCAAAGACATTGTTGTTTGGAGTGCCATGATTGTTGGATATGGCTTACATGGGAAGGCACAAGAAGCCATAAATCTTTTCCACTTGATGAAACAAGCTAATATGAGTCCAAATGATGTCACCTTCATTGGGCTTCTTACATCATGCAATCATGCAGGACTTGTAGAAGAAGGTTGGGGAATATTCAACAGTATGAAAGACTATGGTATTGTGCCACGTCATCAACATTACGCGTGTGTTGTAGATCTTTTAGGTCGTGCAGGGTGTTTAGACAAAGCTTATGAGTTTATAACAAACATGCCAATAAAACCTGGTGTGTCAATATGGGGAGCACTTTTGAGTGCGAGTAGGATCTATCGCCATGTGGCATTAGGAGAATATTCTGCTGAGCAGCTTTTCTCAGTAGACCCTTACAATACAGGACATTATGTACAGCTGTCAAATCTCTATGCTTCAGTGTATATGTGGAGTGGTGTAGCTAGGGTTCGTGTATTGATGAAGGAGAGAGGATTGAGTAAAGACATGGGGTGTAGTATGATAGAGATTGAAGGGAAGCTTCATGTTTTTCGTATGGGGGATAGATCGCATCCAAGATCGGATGAAATATTTGAGGAGCATAAGAGGTTGGATAGGAGATTGAAAGAGGCTGGATTTGTTGCAGATATGGAGTCTGTTTTACATGACTTGAGTTATGAAGACATGGAGGAGAGTTTGTGGAATCATAGTGAAAGATTGGCAATTGCTTATGGGATTATTAGTACTCCTTTTGGAACTACACTTAGGATAACTAAAAATTTACGTGCATGTGTGAATTGTCATGCTGCTATTAAACTGATTTCAAGACTTGAAAAGAGGGAGATAGTTGTTAGGGATGCTAATCGGTTTCATCATTTGAAGGATGGAGAGTGTTCTTGTGGAGATTATTGGTGAGGAATTTGGTTGAGTGGGTCGTTGCTTATTTAACTGGATTCAGAATCAGAGTCTTTTATTTGATTGTTTGATAAGGTGTATATGGAAATGGAAGTAAAGAAATGTGAATGTATTGCTTGATTGTTGTGTTTTTAATTATCTTAACATGGGTAAGTCTTCATGTCTGAAGTCTCTGATTCGATTGAGTTTTTCCATTATGGCTATAATGATGCTCCTGTGTTAGTGACTTAATTAGTGTTACGGGTAATTGCCAACATGTAATTTACAGGAACTTTTTATTATACACAAAGATGAATTATTTTCTTTGTAATTGATAGAATATGTAAAATACTTCTATATATGTTGGATAAAACTCTTATGGGTATTTGAATTTATATAATATTGACAAGAATATCGATTAAAGAAACATACTTTGAAAAAGTTACAATTATGCATTTTAAAATGCTAAAATGGTTAAAATTGTGAAAATTATAAATCTTGACAAATAATAGGGAAAAATGATTTTGGAATATACTAGAAGACAGCCTTATTTATGTATACTCGTATTAACAAAATGGAAAAACGGTAAATAACTTGTCATTTAAAGACTTTAACATTCATCAAATTCTATTGTTGGCATTATGTAGTCTTATTTAACAGATAAATCTTATATCCATAAGACATTAGTGAAACAAGATAAAACAAAATGTTGGAACTTTATATATATAAAGGATTTGCAAGTTGGCAATTTCCTTTGTATCCCACATTCGTGGGGGAAGAAACTTTTGTGGGTTTATAAGCTTATTCCCTTGATAGGCCTTCAAAGGCTTTAGTGGATCAAAAGAATGAGCCAAGCCCACGCGCACACCTAGCCTAGCACTAGCCGACGCCGCAATGCGCACTTGGCATTGGTCGTTGGAAGCTGAGGAGCTTTTATTTTTGACGAGTTCGGGTCAAGCCGGTTTGACCGATCCGTTAACTTCGTGGAGGATAAGTCATCGGGGCATTCTAGTCTCTAGAAGGATCAAGAAACGGCTTGCTTGGAGAGCAAGTCGTCGCCCTAGGGTTTCTGGGGCCGGCCTATGGGGGCCCGTTTCATGCCTTCTAGGGTTTCGATACCTATAAATACTGCTCCCTAGGAGCCATTTGGCTACCTCACGAAAATTGAAAGCCTCTCTCCCACTCTCTGTGTTTTTTTCTGGTTTCCGAGTATTCGCTTTGTGTTTGTCGATTTCCAGTGCTGTTGGAAGATCGATAGGTCTGCATTAAATCCTGGGGTTTTACTCTGTTGCATACAGCCAGAAGAAGCGAAGTAAAAACCTTTAAGGATAGGAGTTCGATCCGTGCAGTTATCTGAAGTTCAAGATCAACAATCTACAGGTTGGTTTTACTTTCTGTCTTGCATTTAATTTCGTCCAACAACAGGACAGTCTTCTTCTTCCTTTCTTATAATCTCTTGAAGGATTGATCTGGTTTTGGACGAAACTTGGTAAATATAATAATAATAATGGGATCTATAATTCGCAACTAATCGACATATAATTCTCAATATTATTTATCGGTTTCCTTGCGTGTCTATTAGTTTGATTTTCAACATTCTTAAAGGTTTTTTATTATTGTGATCAATCAACAGACTAATGGACACTACTGCTAGCCTCCACTTCATGAACCAAGAGTTTGCCAAACTTGACCAATTCGATGGTCAGAACTACACCCGTTGGGCCGAAAGGGTCAATTTCATGCTTCATGTCTTGAAGCTTGCCTTTGTGTTGGACCCAGAACTGGCACCAATTCCTGCTAATCTAATTCCCGAGGCGGGGAAAACTGTGGACCCAGCGGTCATCATAGAACTGGAAAAGCAAAGGACTCTGCGTAGAGAGTCTGAGGAACTTTGTGTGAGTCACATTAAAAACTCCCTATCTGATCGGCTCTATGATCTTTACGCGCCGGTCAAAGATCCAAGAGAGCTATGGAATGCGTTGGAACTTAAGTACAAGGCACATGAGGAAGGTACCAACAAGTACCTTGTGTCTAAGTACCTAGAGTTTCAAATGGCTGATGACAAATCAATCATGGAGCAAGTGCATGAGCTCCAAGTCATGGTCAACAAGTTAAACCCACTCTCCATCTCTATTCCAGAACTCTTTCAGGTTGGTGCGATCATCGCAAAACTGCCACCCTCGTGGAAAGATTTCTCTAAGAGAATGATGCATAAATCTGAGGACTACTCCTTGGATGATCTGATGAAACACCTCCGCATTGAGGAGGAAACTCGCATCAGGGACAAGCGTGGTAAAGTCGGATCGAGTGTGCATCACGTGTTAGCTGGGGGTTCTAGTCACAAAGGCAAGTCCGGGGGACAAAACAAGTAGAACTTGGGACCCAAGAAACAAAACTTCAAGAAATCGGGACATCAGAATCCTAACTCAAAGCCGAAGAGGGCCGGACCTTGCCACATATGCGGAGAGATTGGGCACTATGCGAGAGAATGCAAGGATCGCAAATCAGGACCGGTAGCACATGCAGTCGAGCAGGTGACTGACATGGTGGCAAGTATGAACCTTGGAGAGATTTTTATGATCTCCTCCCTTACCCGAGCAATCAGTGCTCGAGGATGGTTCGTGGACACTGGAGCCACCGTGCATGTTTGTGGGCAACGAGAGAGCTTCCGTACTTACCGCCCAATGCCTCATGGGACGGTAGTTGTCTGTACTGATGGCCACAGAGCTGAAGTTCAAGGAAGAGGTGATGTTCGAGTGAAGTTCACACGTGGTGAATGGGTAACCTTTCAAGATGTTCTTCATGTCCCTACTGTCTCGAAAGGGTTGGTTTTTGCAGACAAGTTTGACAAGGGTGGGTTCAAGATGGTGCTTGAGAGAGGCAAAATTGTGATCACTAAAGGCAAAAGATATGTTGGGAGGGCGAACAATTATTCAGGGATGTATCGTTTGTGCCTTAGTGATGAGGGTAGTGTGAGTGGTCATAGTGTTGTGAGTGGTAGTTCTAGTGTTGCTAGTGTGTCAAGTGTTGATAATGATGTAATTGGTGGATTGGTTGCTAATGTGAATGAAGTGAACTTTTCTGGTTATTTTGTTTGTTCAATTTCTTTATGGCATAAACGTTTAGCTCACACTAATGTTAAAAATATTGAAAAAATGAAAACTAAAGGAATGTTAAAATATGACACGAACGATTTTGAAAAATCTGAAACATGTGTGAAATCAAAGTTCACTAAGAAACCATGTAACATCCCAAATTTCGAGTCCAAAAATTTCATTTTAATTAACTGATTATAAAAGCATTCATAAGAAAACCACATAAATATATCATGTCTGAAAACCCAAGTCATAAAATAGCATCATGTCAGAGTACAATCCCAAAATATCTCAAGTGCGGAAAATCAATGCGAGTGTGTATGATGTGCTGCTATCGCGCCAGCTCCTTCCCCCTCGCTGAAGAGGTACCTGAAACCAAAACTATAAACTGTAAGCACGAAGCTTAGTGAGTTTCCCCCATCGTACCACATACCATACAATCATATAGCATTCATACTTACGGGCAATTCTGGGGTGCCCGACCTACCCGGTACGGCCATTCTGGGGTGCCGACCTACCCGTGTCAAGCCGTTCTGGGGTGCTGACCTACCCATCAGTCCTAACAACCGACCCTCGGGGACTATTCCACCCCCTACTACTACTATCACATATATCATAACATAAACATACTATCAGACATATCTGGGGTGTCCGAACTACCCTTCGGTCCTAACAACCGAACTTGGGGACTATTCCCCTTCTACTACCACTATCACATATAACATATCATGCTAGCATATAACATATCATCACATATTGTCAGACATATCTGGGGTGCCTGACCTACCCTTCGGTCCTAACAACCGAACTCTATTGCTATCACATATAACATATCATGCCAACATATAACATATTAGGTAGTAGCAAACCTGGATGATATCACAAAGACAATCATCCAACATACAACTTCTACTGGTGGGCCGGCATTGTGGCCGTAGACCCACCGCTACTGGAAGGTAACTCACCTCGAACGAGTAGCTGCTGATAATCTGTGCGGGAAATCTCTGTCTGCTGCTGCTCCGGAAATCCTCCGGCTATAACCCCCACAAAACACTTAATCAGAGTCTGATATCTATTCTTAGGGTAAAATGACCATTTTACCCCTGACCAAGTCCAAGTCAAAGTCAAAGTCAACTTCCAGTTGACCCGACTCGCCGAGTTGGGCCGCCAACTCGTCGAGTCCCTATCTCTTCAACCGTCCTCATCCACGACCCTACTCGTCGAGTTTAGCGACGACTCGACGAGTTCCTCTTCGATATGAACATCGAATGAACCTTCATCTGACTCGCCGAGTTGTATGAACAACTCGTCCAGTTCACCTTCATCTGATGAACAAGTTCTGACCTTGACTCGCCGAGTTATATGAACAACTCGTCGAGTTCATCTTCAACCATAAGGAGATTGCCTTGGACTCGCCGAGTCTGTTCTAGCACTCATCGATTCCCATGAACTCCAGGTCTAAGGCTAAGTCTAATACATTGGGTCACTCCTTCGGACCTTCTACAACCTTTCTAACACCCAACTGAGTTCTTTTGACCCTCAAGAGTCATGAGACTTTATGCCTTGGACTCGTCGAGTCCCAAGAACGGACTCGCCGAGTCGATAACGTCCACACCCTAAATCCTCGATTTCTGATGTACAACCTTTGACCAAAAGATAGATCCAAGCCCCTAAGCTCGATCTAGCACGTAAAGTTTTGAACTTTACGTGCATGCATGAGACTTTTGAGCCTAAAAGGCTCTAAAATGGCTCTTATGTTGCATGGGGCCTTCCTTGAGTGCAAAAGCAACCCAAATCTGCCTTGTGACCCTTCCCAAGACTTAGATCCGAAGTCTTGACCCCCAACCATGTTTGCAATCATGGTTGGCTACCTCATATGGCTTAAAAATCCCTAAATCTTCCCCAAAAAGGGATCTAGCAAACAAG